TCGTTAGAACCTTTCTTGTATCTTGGATCATTTCGGCATTTACAGGCAAGGGAAAAAGGAAGAGCAAACAGACCTTTTGAAAATGTAATTTTTTTAAACCCTTTTTTTTATATAATCTTAGTACGCAAGAAGATCATCGGTCCAAGGGCATCGTGCTTATGTTGATGTCAGAACTTTGGTTAGTATATAATAAATCAAGTACACATCTCTTAAGAATCCTTTTAAAATGGGTTGTATAAAATAAAGCCGAAAAAGCAGGAGATTATTTTTACAATCCGACATGTTAATCTAAAAAAAAATATATGGTTACATTACACTCGGAATATACAACACTACGGAAATTAGTAGCTTAGATAATATTCAGGATAGCATTACTTTGATAATTCAATTATACATTGGTTAGATCACAAATTTTTCATAAACGCACCGCAAACGAATAGTGATATAATGAACAAAATCCCGCAATCGTACAAGCACGTGCTTCCACTCGTTCACTCTCGATTTCAATGTGTTTTTATTGCGTCTCTTAAATTCGCATTTATGAGCTCTTATGTTCTCCCCCGTCTTCCCTTTTCTTCTATCGGAGTGACTGGACCGAGCTGTAAAACGCTGCGCTATGTTGAAGACAAATCGTCCGACGTGAAGTTAAATAGGTGATAATTGTGACCGATATCCCATAGCAATTGCAATATCATAAATACTTTAATGAGTGAAACGACCTTGAATTTTATTGGTTCTCGTTATAACGCACAGCTGAGCCGAGTGATCAATCACTTTATTATACATATGTGTGTCTACATTACGGCATTAAAACACGCGATATCTTTTAAAAGTACTATGAATGAATTGTGATGTGTCTCTTTAGTCTAGATAAAAAAATTAGTTTGGAAAAATTGATAATCTAAAATTTGTATATATATTTAAAATCATATATATATATATAAAATAGCGCGATTTATATTTATAATAATTTATAAATTTAATTTGCAAATCTTTTTTCGTCATTTTTTATATATTAAAATCTTTTTCACTTCTTTAGCTTTTCAGAGCAATGTACAATATTATCAAACTTTGTATGCTAAATTAGTAAGAAAGTTGTCATTATTGAAGTTATTTAAATATTCGTGTAAAACGTATTTTTTTTGTTTAATTAAAATGAATATAAATATTTGATTTAAACATGCATCTCTTCGCTTTTTACGACGTTCTTCTTTTTTAAAGATCGCTTACTTATAATTCTATATTATATATTTATAAATACTGTGATAAGAATGTAGATATCACATAATGTATGAATGAAATGTTTTATCTAGAAAGATACATCGCTCCAATATAATTTATGAGATGATTATTTGTTAGATGACACGCAACAATTGTAGTTGTAAATACTTTAATGAGCGAAACGACCTTGCCGATTCTATAGCTATCCTTATAACATTCAATGCTTAAGTTCAGTGACTAATGATTTTATCGCTACTGTATCTGTACACTATTATGACTGTTTAAAACGACGATAAACGCGCACAGTGAATCAGCTTAATTTTCGCGCATTACATATTACATGCGATATAAAAAATCACACGTGTAAATTATTAAGACGCCAAAACAATTGATTATGTATTACTTTTTTATATATATATTTTTTTTAATTTTAGAATCGAGCCATAATTTGTAGAGATAATAAATTCTCCTGGGGTCTCAGTTCATTAAACGGTTATAATGAATATACGTTATTTCCATAATGAAAGTTTCTCTAGCGTAGGGCCTGCTGCCTGATTCGAGATGTTAGAGATCAAAGAATACAACGATGGTATATCCTTATAGATATTTGCTGCAGGAACGAAACAAGTTTTATGTTTTGCTTTCTGGGGTTGTAAATTTATTGCCCCGTAGATTCGAACTTTGTGTCCCGACGGTCTTTTTGATGAACGACGATCAACTATAAAATATGACTTTACAAACCTATTGAGCGCTGTTATTTAAACGCGGTGGCCGGCTATTTAAGTCTTAACTGCCTACAGATTACGCGTCGCTATAAAATAATAAACATAAACCATGCTATATACACTTAAGTAGAAGTGCCTAACCGTTCTATGTGCAAAGTTCTTTAGCTTCGTTTTTGTTGCGTTTTTTCACTTTTGAAAATTTCTAATCTTGATTACATATGTAGGCAAGATAACGTCAATAAGACGGGAATATTTGACATAAATTATTCACACGTAAGGTCTATAAATAAATTTAAATCTTAATCATAAAATATTTTTCCACGTTTTACGACTCAAATTATGTACATTAAGAGAATTGAGATTTTATAGGGATGTATTATAGTATTAATAAAAATATGGCGAGTAGCGTTGTGAATTATAACTATTGGTACAAGATGGTCGTTGAAAATGAAACAGGATCCCTACGAGCAGCCATTACGCGATTCTCAAGTAGAAGGGAATCTATTAAGATATCGTGGGCTGAACCTGAAATCTCGAAACGGCTCGAGTTAACCAATCGCGGACATCAACATCGAAATCTGTTCCTTCCACGTAGTCGCTATTTTAGAATTCATGCTCGCCAGCCTTTCACGACGCT